CTGCTTAACACGTCTGCAATGCATATTTTAGCTTATCAAAATACGAAAAGACGTTTTACAATGAGTTTTCTCAAAGTACTGAGTGCTTTGAGTTCCGAAGAAATGGTGTGAGAATGCTGCTTCACCTGAGTTATCGTAAGTCGCCATTATTATTTTTTCGGCTCGAAACCCAGAACAATTGACAGACACTTACTTAGGATATAATATGGACATTTGGAACCCCGCCTAGTTAACTAGCTCGCTAGTTTTCTAGCCCATTCCATGCCCGGGTAAAGAGGCAGAGTTGGGCGTGAGGTTAGCAACCCAACACCACTATATCTTTCAAACCACTAGAGAAACTTCAACAAACAGAAAATATATCACAAATGCAAAAACTTCATATAAGAAACAATCCTATTCTTCGCTCGAATCGGAGAGGCGAAATGACACAGCAGGCTGGTGAAAGCCTTCACGAAGCCAGTCAGACAACCGACGTGTCTTCTCTCGACGAAATCAAGAGTAAGAAAGGGGACATGGAATGTCCGTACAATGTACGAGACTGGCTGGGAAGGCTGTCCAGGTAACCAAAGAGGTGCGAAGATATGGTACAGAAGTGGTGGGTATCTGCGAAAGCAGATGGAATGGATGTGCATTGACAACATTGTCAATTGGAGAGTCAGTAATCCACTCCGGTCTGGTCACCCAGACGACAACCACGAACACACTGAGGCAGTGAGTGGCTATCATCATGTCACCAGTGGCAGCCAAAGCTCTAATGCAGTGGGAACCAATCTCCTCTCACGGGATCATGACAGCGAGATTCAACTCCAAAGGAACGAAGGTAACAATTTTCCAATGCTACACACAGTGCTTCAAACAACACGGAACAAGAGAAGAAGGAAGATTTCTATAGACAACTGCAAACAGTAATGGACAACATCCCGAATGGTGACATCAAAATCCTCATGAGCGATATGAATGCAAACCAAACTGGGAGCAGACAATACAGGAAGTGGACCCATCATAGGTCGAGAGGCTCTCACCTGACGAAATGAATGAGAACGCAGAACTCTTTGCAGATTTCGGTGCTTTCAATGATTTAGTGATCGAAGACAGCGTCTACAAGCACAAAGATATACACAAAGCAACATAAACTGTGCTTGACAGACACACCACAAAGCAGATAGACTTCATCTCAATGTTGCTCAAGAAAGTGGACACACAGCCTGCTGGACACAAAGTCGAGAAGGGGAGAAGATGTGGGTGGGCTCAGACCACCATCTAGTTTAAGGAACCTTTGAGGTGAAGCTGAAATCCATGCAATCAAATGGAGACAGACCACAATTCAAGTTCAACATTCAGAAACTGAAGGACAAAACTACAAGGGATGCCTTCACTACAGATAAGATCAAAGCAAAGTCGGACACACTACGTGGCATCACTGAGGAAACCTGTGTGGAAGAACATTGGAACTCTCTGAAAGCGATATTTAAGGAAACGTGTACAACTGTTCTAGGAAGAAGGAAGAGACAAGACAAGGAATGACTGTCAACGGATACCTGGAAGCAAATAGAAGAGAGGAGGGGAGGATGGTGAAGGAGAAAATGACTCAATGCAAAGATGGACAAGAGAAGGAGAAGCTGAGTTCAATGTACACTGAACTGAGTAAAGAAGTGGAAAGGAGTGCTCGGAGAGACAAAAGACAATTCTACGACACACTGACTGGCAACTGAAGCAGAAGAGGTGGGGCGCAGTTAGAAGAAACCTATGAACATTATATCAGATAACCAGGCTGCTCGGTATCCGGGAAGAGATCAACCCAGATGATGAAACCAATCATAGATGTTTAAGCGAGCCTGATTTCAAAGAGTTGAGACAAATAAAACAAAGGGATGATCACTTCAGAGGACTTTTGAATTGACCATCACCTACAACTCACCCAGAAATACCACCAACACCACACACGCAACTGCCTGCCAGTGGACACCAATCCACCAACGAAATCAGAAATCTTGAATGCGATCAACTTACTGAAGGCAAGCTGGGAAGACAGCAGGACCAGACGCCATTCTCCTCCCGAAGCACTGAAGACGGCCTCAGAGATTACGGCAGATGTCCTCACTCCACTTCTGCAAAAGGTTTGGAAAGAAGGAAAGGTACCTACAGATTGGAAGAAAGGCTGGCTACCTCGTCAAGCTGCAAAAGAAGGGCATGTGAAAGAACTGACGTGTAATCATGCTCTTGTCCACGCCAAGTAAAATACTAAGTCCCATCATCCTGGAGAGAATAAAAGATGCACTGGATACAGAACCCCGCCAGCCCTGAACAAACTGGCTGGATTCAGGAAAGGCAGGTCATATACTGATCAAATCGCAACTCTACGCATAGAATGCCAGTTAAACCACTACCTCAACTTCATCGACTTCGAAAAGGCCTTCACCAGAGAGCATTGATCGTGAAGTGATTTGGAAACAACTTCAAAACTACGACGTGCAGTGCCCAAGTCCTTATCAACCTCATTCGATAGCTGGCTATATGGCAGTGCCAAATGTCAGGTGATTCACAACGGGAAACTCGGCGAGGCGTTCGGAGTGCATACAGCAGTAAGGCAAGTCTAGCTGTTTATTTTCACCGATGACATCCTTAATTGTGGTGGACTGGTTTATGCATCACACTGTGGGAAGTGAAAAGACAGGAACACGTTGGATCTCGCGCATGGGTGATTTATGTCTTATATCACATAAATTCGGAGACCTAGAGGCAGGCGAAAACCGACAAACTGGCAGAAGAGGCTGACAGAGAAAACAGGACTGCAGGTGAACACAGAGAAGACGGAGCTGATGAAGATAACCAACAAACCAACCAATCAGCCAACAACAACAACCAGCACCAATCACCATCATCGGGAGAGATTTAACATGGATTGCCTCCTCCACTTACCTGGGAAGCGTCATTTCAACTACAGACGGAACGGACGAAGATGTCAAAATCAGCCAGAATCGGAAAGGCAACATATGCCTTCATCAACCTGAAACCAGTTTGGAAATTTTCTGCTTCATTCAGTCTGCATAAGGAACAAGATTCGTATTTTCAACACCAATGTGAAGTTAATCGGTTTTTCTATATGGGTCAGAAACTTGCACTGAGTGTCAGTCACGGAAAGGATTTCCAGAAGCTTGTTGCAGACTTTTATCAACAGCTGTCTTAGCTGGCTCCATACCGAAGACCAAATGGCCAGAAAGAATAAGCAACAATAAACTATGGGAACAAACCAACCAAGAGTCGATAGCTCAACAAATATGTCGGAGAAAGTGGAGATGGATCGGGCATACATTGAGGCCATCGAATGACACTGCACGCCAGGCCATTGCTCGAGTGGAATCCAAATGGGAAGCAACGACTGGGCCATCCTAGGGTGACATGGAGGAGATAGTGCGAGGAAGAGATGAGAGTTTTGTCAATCGCGGACCCAGCTGAAGAGGACGGCAGAAAACAGAACAAAGTGGAGGTATGTTATGGAAACCCTATGTTCCACTCGGAACGCAAGGGAATAATAATAATAATATAATAAGGGATATTTGTTGCCCATGAACTCATGATTTTGGGCAGGTGGGACCGTCAGTGATGGACAGAAATCAATAAAAAGTAATTTACTCTTTTAATATGTCACTGAACTAGCATTAAACTTCTGTCCAATTATTACAACAAGTGAATGCTTTTATTTACTGCACCCATCCCGCTCATTGACATAAGTTTTCAGTGTTTAGGTCTTCAAGCCGGAGTACTCAAATAGCTTAGCTCACGGCTTCCAAACAATCAACAAATGAAGACCTTATTACGAGTTTTATGTATCGTCCTGAGAATAATCTGTACGCTATCAATTTAACTAATAAATGTACAAAATGTCAAAAAAGCAGCAAACTATCTTTGTCGGTTGTCTGCATTAAGCTGACAACAACCACGATTGTCTTAGTCTTGTATTTGTATGAACTTGTTAGCCCTACTAGTGATGCTGCGTAGTAATTGGACCTGAACATCACTTAGCAGTAATCATAGATTGTGCTGGATGACTTGCGGGCGAAATCAAAGATTACATAGACTTTTTCTGTGTTAGATACAGTTACCCTATTTAAACGCTACTGCCACCACTCATATAGACTAGATAACATCATCCGCAGTTGAATAGAGAAAAAAATGGTCTGTTGACTTCTTTAAAAAGACTTTGTTTGTCAATTATTCAGAAATCAGTTATCACTGAATGAAAAGTCTCTTCCTAAAGCACTTGTAGGGTGTTAAACGTAGAACCATAAGGCGTTTCTTCAACCCCAACGATAAACCAATAATCTCTCAAATAGGAAAAATATAAATGGATTTTCGCCATTATGTAAGCATATGCATTTACTGCTGTAAAATTCCCAAACTTCTGAATTATATTATACAGTGCAATAAAGTTTGTGACTTTTCTCGCAAAGAATCAACAATATTAAGAAATGTAAACACACTATGTGGTTAGTGGTGGTGTTCTTACTGAGAAGTGAACCTAATACTCAATGCAACCTTAACAAATTAGCAAACTGTGTGGAACAAAACTTCATAAGACGATTAAGTGTTCAAAAAACTCTCAAGAGCATTTTCTAAAATCTTCAAGTATCGCCAAAATCATATTTGCAACATGTAACATGAGTGTATGTCATGTTCGCTAAAGATACTCTCGAATAAATATGTAAGAGATTACATTTTGACACGCGTTTGGAATTAATGACTAGGTTAAAATAAAACTCTACAATAGCTTCCTCTAATTATGAAATGAAGTATAACTTAGAATAAAATGTTATACAAAAAACACGTGGATATGTGTCAACATACACTTAAAATACTTAATGAAGTTTTATAACACCTGCAACGCGTCATATATACACAGATACTACCACGTGCAATTGTACAATATCAATCATACTTAACCATAAATTAAGATTCAGATGTCAAAACCATTAAGCAGTTTAAATGTATACTATACTTACAGGAAATTGAGGAGGAACAATAGCGTTTTTATTTCCACCAGCAGATGTACTTATACCTGATGACACGAACTTATTAGTGGAGAAATCCGACTGTCGAATATTTGCATCACCTAAAAAGAAACAAGCCAATAAATCACGAATGAAACTATATAATGGATTAGTCGAGAAGATAAATACAAATTTGACCAAGAGTCATAGATAGAGTCAAAAGAAAACAATACTTAAGGTGTACGCTGGTAAATCAACACCAATTCTGCTAAACGAAAAAGGCTTAAAGTATGAGAGAAAGATATGGATACATTTCAGCCATATCGATCGATTTTGAATTACAATACTTTTACGACTATCAATTTTAGCCGAACACTGATTTTCCAGTAAATTTTGGAGAAATGAGAAGGGCACTTCAAAAACTACTAGAACTCCCACGTAGATAACTCAGAGCATACTCTATAAGCAATAATCAGCAACCAACCTTATTTAGACGCAGGCTTGTGAAGTTGATTCATATTACCAGTCAGCTCATCTCCTATGGCTGTTTAACAAGTCAGTGCTGACAAAGAAAAACGCTTAAATTCAAAACAAGTGAGTTTTGAAAATTGTGCTTCCAGAAGTTTCTTGGGTTGTAAACTGACTTATGAAGCTTTTGCTGCGAAAAATATAATGAATAATTCTTCCGCAGATAAGTATGTGTCTAAGATTACTCATATCCCAGATTTCGAAGTCACTTAGACAATACAGACGTGAAAATGAAACCTACCTAAGTTGCCAAAGCCTTTGTTGTGCATTGACTGATCTGTTGGCGTATTGCAACCAAAATACTGACTTCCTGACACATTAGGAGTTGGAAATTGTCCCATGTTTCCTGAATAGGACATGAATCCTAAGTTCCCAGAATGTGGTGTACTTTGCTGGTAAAGAGCCAAGATTGAATCTTTAGTGATCTTAGTTGTAGAGGTCGAAGAGTCTTTTGAAGGAGCTGTAAATTTCTCAGCTTCCGAACTACTACTTCCAAAGTCTAAACCCAGAAGATCGGATGTCAAACTAGATGGAACACCCTAAATGGGAAAGTAAGCAGTGAATTTATTTAAAAGATTTGATGAACATTTTTACAACTACAAGCAAAACTACTACTACATTCAAGGTAAACTGAAGTACTATAACTTTTTAAGTTTTCAGCGTGTAAAGTGTATAAAAAAATACACAAAACTAAATACAGAAATTCTTAAAACCGATCTAATAAACGCTTAAAAGCTTTTGAAAGATTTTCATAAGTACAACCGAGATTCTAAAACTACAATCACTAATACTTCACAACATGGCGGAAATAAAAGCTGTCTTAAAAGAATAGTTAAAATGAATAACCTCAACCCCATACCCACTAACTAAACAAAAATTAAATATACAAACTGAACATGTGTACCAAAAGTCAATCACTTAATTATAATTCGCTCATGACGCAAAAACACCTTGGGTATATACATACAGGTTAGGACGCTCGCCGACCATGCACATGGTACGGGGTTCGATCCCCAGCCGACGCACTCCATAACTTTGCTAAGCCAGAAATAATGCTGGTGAAGAGGAAAGGTTGGGCATGAGGCTAGCAACCCCATCCTGTAAAATAAACACTGCTACAGGAACTTCAAGCCTCTAGCTTGAAGCCTTATGTTCCACTGCGGAACGTGAAGGAAAAAGAAAAAGAAATATATACACACAGAATGTATATTTTTACGGTTTCCAATACGATCAAAAACAAGGTCATAAGTTCATATCACTTTTTAAATCAACTGAGAAGTAGAATTAGATATTACCTACATATGATAACGAACAAAAAAGAAACTACATACGACTGTTGTGTTAAAGCAATGAAGACACGATGAACTTACTTTTGGTTTCCCATCTTGATGACCCATATCTACTGGTATGTTGACTGACTGTTGTTGCCCAGATGTCGGCGGTTGGTGTTGACTGCTATTTACTTGATTAGAACCCAACTGACCAAACAGATCGCTTTGATCTACTGAACTAGATGCATTATCAAGTCCCAAAAGGTCGAAATCATTGTTCGTCCTATTAACACTGTTTGCTTCAGACTTCTACAAGAAAGCACGATACGAGATAATCAGCTTAAAACTTTTCAAAAAGTTCGTGATTGCAAGCACATAAAAATTTGACTAACAAAGAATTAGGCCAGTATGCTTCATAAAGGCAACAGAATGACCGTATAACGAACAAATTAGATGGACACAAGATTATAATACCCGTGTTAGTTGTTAAAGAACAAGCAACAAAAATTATGGTATAGCAATCCAAACAACTTTCAATGAACAAGCGATTGTGAATTTGGAAACAATCAGCTTACTTTTAGCGAAGGCTCTTTATTTGGTTGATGAGTCTTATTAACAGGCTGTTGTATTGCTGGTCCTAGACTTACAGCACTAGATCTTTTCTTTTGACCCAATTCGAGACGTTGTAATTCCTAGTGAAAGTGGGAAGAACATTTAAATCAAATTAAACTAATTTGAATCAAGCAACATAAAATGCTTCACAAATCTAAAGAATGCACTCCATGGTAAATAGGTTTATCAAGCTTCTTAACAATGAACTATTACATTTATTAGTGCTTTCTACACATCACTTCCTCTTATACCAGTCTGTTTCAATTCATTGCTGTGATATGACCTGATCACTTCAAACTTTGTGAGTGACACATTCAAAGGTATGTTTACAAAGGCATAGATTACCAAAAAGACCACAACAAGAGGTTAAATATTTCCCTTATGAACACAAGGACTAGGCTTGAACAGCTACATTAGCTTTATACGTTATACGTAAATTATCAATTAACACCGCAGCTATCTGCTCTGACAGGTTCGTAAAGATTCCGATTAGAACGTGCAGTCAAAGTTGACTAAACATCTAATAATCCGACTGGTGACTGGTTCACGTCTTCCTCCCGATAGCCAAGCAGAATTATGTTCTTAGGTGCATTTAAAAACGATATGACTTTCACAGATAATACAAAAACTTGTACAAGAATATTACGGTGGTTCAAAGCAGTAACCTAAACTTGGTTCAAGATTCTTTTTCAGTTAGAAATAATTTATAGGACAATTTGTTCAAATGACACTTGGCGAGAGACGAGACCAAAATCAACACATATATATAGCATTACTGAGAAATTTATAAGAGAAGCAGTGGTGTACGCAAAACCACCTCCCATAAACGATGTGGTAAGGCGGGGGTGGCTAGACTCCGGTCTCGAAATGTTCATAGTTTCTGCCAGGGAAGCCACATTTACTACTTTCACGAGGCAATCTAGGGTGTTTTTTACAAAAGTGGGAGGTCGAATAAGGACTCCAGAACTAATGGAATATGGAGGTTTCACTCAGCAGAATTGGAAGGCCATGATTGAAAACAGATTCAGAGATCGCCGTAAAATTTCGTTTATTAAAGGCTTTGTATTTCTCTTTTTCCTTGTGACCCTTATGTAAGCTTTCATGGTGTGGCAACTTCGGACTTTTCGCGAAATTTCATGTTGAAAATGGAAATAGTCAGATTATACTTACTCTAACATCAGTCTTGCTTAACTTCCATTATCTCTGCACTTGCCAGTCTCCATTTTCCTCAACTATCTGTTGTTTTTTGAAGTCAGTGTCTGTTTATTTATTTAATTTCAGAAAGCTGATCTTCAGTGTAAGATCCAACATGGATATTGACACCACATGTCGCGTTCAAGCTTGCTACCTAAAACCACAACTAAAATCATTGCCTGCCAAATTTCCCCTCTAAATGCATGAAAAAAGGAGAAAACACCTGACTAAAAAGCTCCAATCCCTGTTCTTTTTTAAATTCGACAGTAACGTATGACGATCAGAGTAAGACGGTTAATTTGCAATTAAAAGTGTTCTCTGAGCTGGTTGGTTTAGCTGCGAAGCTTTCGTCGTCCTTCTGGACATCTTCAGCGCCATATTTAGCACAAAGACGGTTAATTGCTGGGCGAAACACACTCAGAATACCACACGCCCAATGACGGAATTTGGCATACATAGGAAGGGTCCATGCTTTTGTGCCGAGACTATGTGAATTACCAGTCTATTATGTGTTCTTACAACGTATAAACAACTACGAAACTGTAGCCTACTCGCACACAAATAGTACCTTCTTTTACCACAGCCGTGATTTCTTCCTGAGTCATCGCGTACGCCAGCTATTTTCTCAACTTAACTCATCTAAAAGCAAAGTTTTTTCTACATACACCTAGTGATAAACTTCTTCCGTTCATACATTAATAACGAATACATAACCACAGAAAGAACTTACTTTCATCAAGGAATCAACATCCGGTTTACTTGGGACATATTCATGGGCTATATATCTCTTTTGTTCATACTTTGCCCGAATAAAAGTCTCCAGTGCTGAGTCCGTTTGTGGCCTTCTGAAATTATCGGGAAGATTTGCTTCATATACTGCCCGGGCTTTGCTATTACCCATATCCCTCATAATCTAGAAAGGAAAATGATTTTGAATCGTTGCATTACAGCCAGTTGCATAGGAGTCCATGTGTCCAGGTTTACTGATTTGACTTTTGATATGTGAACTCCCAAATTACGATGAATTCCGGCACATCTTATGCACAGGAAAACGCCAATGTTCCAAGAAGCCCATCGTGGACCTTAACTAACATTAAAGTAAGAATTTCTTACCCTTGGCATCACAGTCTGCACAATACTTATTATCATCATCACGTAGTAACTCTTGAATTATGAGTTGATGTCGTTCATTTTGAAGTTTAGTATTATCCCGCTTGCTAGTCATCACAAGGTTAAAATCTCCGCACGCGAGATGACCTACAAGGAAGCAAAATCGATTACCTGCCTTGTTCAAACTTAAATAACATTTATTTAAAGGTAGTATTTTGAAATTTTTCCTACCATTTTGCTCGGTGCATTAACAACATGGTGGTGACTCTAGAATATATAACAGCCTAAAACGAAACTACCTAATGAGTTGAATAATGACCCTGACGGATTTATATACAGAAATTGGTTTGTAGCGGTAAATAATTCCTCCAGAATTATTGACCACAGCAATCTTCACTGAACATTGGACGCTGTTCACTGTTTAAGTTGACTTGTTTAGCTGAAGGCTTCAGGTCAAGCATCCATACTCCATAATGGTTAAGATTTTATTTTGATAAATCACACAGTGTTGTACGTCATCAGTTAATATAACTGTACAACACTGTGTGATTTATCAAAATAAAATCTTAACCATTATGGGGTTATACTCTACCACAGTGCCCAAGTTTTATACTTATATCAAGCATCCATACCATTTGGTACTCCGTCGTGTCATGTTCGTGCACGATCACCGGCCAGCTAAGCATTCATCTCGTTCTACGATTTGGTCCCGAAATATATCTCGTAATTTGGATGATCAATCGTGTCTTTTGCTTTACCTTTGGTCTACGCGGAACGAATACTATAGAAGTTGTTGGTATTAGGTCTTGCGTTAGTATACTCCGTACAATCCGCTAACGTCAATACCGCCAGTCTATAAAGGTGTAACTTGACTACAAGGAATCCAGTGAGAAACTGGGAGGTTTTAGGAACACATACAAGAATGTAAAGTTAATATGATAATAACAAAATGCCAGCCAGCAAAGAAATCCACTACTGACTAACCTCTCAATACCCTATGTACTTTACGCAGAAGATATTTTTAAATGCATATTTCAAATGTTTGGAATAATAGTTTGCGAAGCCGTTGCAACTCATGTATCATAGAAAAACAATCCCTTCACGTGAGAATTCAGTTTCTGAATTCACGGCTGAAGAATTTAAGATTGGGGCAGGTAGACTTTCGCTCCTGTCCGTTTCACTTTCGACTACCCATGCAACACATCTTAGATAATGACTCATTGGAAACACTCATATTTCCTGCTTTTGCAATTTACGGCCGTTATTATCTCGACTGCTAGGGCAAAGTCAGAAGGAAAACAGGTGATACGTGAGGTCTAGATAAATAATTCTTGGCGTGGTATGTAGCACCATCACCCTAACTCATATTGGCATTATACAACCTGGGGAGCTTCTTCGTCTTAAGAAGCCAGAAAGTAAGTTTCTACATGGGTCTTAAACTATTTGGAATTGCAATTTTACCAGGCAAAGGTCAGGGAATCACTTCTTTTTGGTATCTCCATGAATACTCACCATACTGCAGAGTCTAGAATTTACCAAATTAACATCTCCAGTAAGGTACCCTGAATATCTCAATCAGTCATCTGAGCTAATGTCACGCTTACAGCCGTTCTGTTACAGCCAGAGCAGCATAAATAAGAATGGAAGCAATTTGGCTCGTGCCGACATAGCTAGTTTAAAGCTGAAAGTGATTAGACATACATGAAGTACCACTGGTACTTTTCCGACTACAGACGCGCGCTTTGACCAAGTCCATATAAAACTGCTTGGGCCCCTTCCATAATCCTGTGGATATGCTCTTGTGCTGACCGTTATACTTGTTCATCCCAACGCCTATGGAGTTACGGAATGCTTTAATCAACAAATTAGAGTTAAACTATCAGCTGAAAACATCGAGCATCGGAATTCTTCACAACCCTTTGTCCTCCTCGGCATACGCAATGCTCTGAAAGCTGACACTGACTGCAATACTATCGCGCTGGTATGTGGAAACACACCACGCATATTCACCCGTTTTAGGTCATTCCTGGCAATTCAACAGGCCCACAGTCACGATACGCACAGTTAAGCCTATTATCTTCCAGCAGCTGTCCACAGATGATTTGGTTCATCCATGCCTAAAAACTCCTTCACACGTATTTACACGTCTTGTTAGTAGATTATTTGGACCACCATACCATGGACCCTGTCGATTCATTAAACGAGTTGATTATTTCCTCGTTTTAGACAGAAACAACCATGAGTACTGAATTAGTGTCGACCATCAGATACAGAAACCCTATGAACCCTTGCCGCGCACATGAAATCTCGCTGATGGTGTACTCATCAGCACTTGAAAGAGTATAAGACAGCATAGAGGCACCACAGGCCTTCAGTGAAACAGCGAAAGCCACTCTGGGTCAACTGTGACGTTTCGTTAGTGTCCTCAAACATGCATTACTCGATGTCTTTTTTCCCTAGGCACATTCTTTTGTCGTTATATGTTATAAATTTTCCATGTACTAGGTGTTTTAAGGTTAATTTATCTTTCCCCTCATATTTCTCTACGGAGGGTCCGCCGCGTCTACGATATACTTATTCAGCCCAACGAACATATTTGCAGAATCAGTCACCTGTTTGGTAATTTATTCCCGTCAGTGATCTCCTCTTTTCTGTCTCCTCCTTGAGGTAAGTCAGAAACTTCAGAGGAATACTATGAAGCATGGCAACCATAGGTCGAAAATGTGACTCATTTTGCACGGAGACGACGTTAGCAATGGTAGGCAGACACCTGCAACCAACGTAAACCTAATCAACCCTATTGACTGCAGATGAAACTAACATTTCTCTTTACGTATTTGTGTTATTTTGCCATGTTTCGTGATAAGACGGTTCCTGTCCAGCTACACTTTTTCCCATATATACAGTAACATTCAAGACATGGCCCAGACAGAGTTTTATGCGCGGTTTAGCGGTTAAACACAGCGTCTGTTAGCTCTTGAGAAAAAGCTAAAAATTTAATTTTGAGGAGTGGATCACTGTATCTCAAAAAACTCCAAATATTACTAGTGGTAAATAGTCCTCAAAACTCCCTGCTTCTGCAACTTGAATATAGGTTTACTCCTAGTTTCGACAGGAAACTGTCATTGTGCGTCACGGTGAAGAAGACTCTAAAAATGGTAGAGGATAATTTTTACCAGAAGAAGTTACAGTCTACGTGGGTAGACACGCACAGTAAGAGTCGAAGCTTTTGAAACATTACTCCTTGCCAACTTCATGACGATCACGCTTCCTGCGATATGGGATACGATAAGCACACCTACAATCTTGACGCCATATTGAAGGCACCTAATATCTTAGAATTACTGGATATGTAAACATACGAAAAGTCAACTGGCATATCAATATAAGTTTACTGGATGAAAACATTTGATGAAAAAATACATTTATATATATATTAAATGTGTAAGTAAATAATTGTCCCCATATTTTGTTTTTCCGGTCCCTTACTCCGGTCCCTTTCTTAACTGTTTTTTATACCTTTCTGAAAGGCGCACGGGCCAACAGTTATATTGGAACTAGGCATTATTTGATACCATTGCATCATTCTTATAGGCTCTGGTTTAGAGTCGCTCCAAATTTTACGGGTGATGACATACGTTAGAACGTGTTAAATTTTCCGCGCCTTAGGTTTTCTCGTCTTTCATTGGCTGGAACAGTGGCGGCTAATTTTATATTTAATTTGTCCTAGGAAGGTGATATCGTGTGCAGGTTTGTGTGGTTGAGGTATGCGTTGTTTGCAAGCATATTTGATGAAAATAAATGTAAAATTTGATTATTCTAACGTTTTATTTTACTTCTTTTGTGCATGTACAAGGCTTGGCTTGTCATATACTCGGTTTGTTGGCCTATCGGTTGCTGGCGATGTCAAGGAACCCGTTAGTTCTTCGGCTTTTCTCAATTTTAAGTTATACGTGTAGCATTTTATTGGTGGATATTGCTCAGTGATGTACTTCAGTATTACTTTTACTACGGAATTATATTAAAACAGTTGCGAGACAGATGGATACTTATTGACGAAGCCTTTTTAGTTTATTGCAGGTAGGCAATGCGAGTGAAAGCATTGCACACGTCAGTGGAATTTTTTCGGTGGAGTAATGCTGGGAAGGCGTTTCTTTAGCTGGGAGGAATTTGAGAATTTCAAAAAGTGAGGAAGTCATTTAATGCTAACAATGTAGTTGTCCTGCACTCACTATGTGGTTGCCGCAGATTACGCGGGGGAAGTCATCGCACCAATGGACCATTTTCTTAATGTGTAAATTAACTACTTTCGTATTACAATAAAAATAAACTTTTCCTATTAACATTGTTGTCTTTCTGTTCGTGTGTTCGCGTTGGGAGTACGGGATGCTAGACCGGTGCTCCCTAGGATATGAATTCGTTACTATACGTAAGTGCAATTCTGTGGGAACACTATTCTTCGATAAAAGTGGTGAATTATAAGTACTTTATTCAAGTCTAAAAATCTGCCTAGAAGTACGCGATTACGTCTCCCGGTCATAGATAAATCTGTAGGGATTAATGACAAAAATACCTAACTTCAATATTTGAAAAATAAGAATACAACTTAGGCCCTGCAGTTGAGTTCGATTTCGTATGAAATTAAGTATAATCACAAGTAGTGTATTACTATTATTTCACTTAAAGCGTGATGTCAATCCATGTGCCTACGGGTGTTAACATATAGTGTAAAATGAAGTCTACACGAGACGAGTAATTTAATAAGTTGAGCTGTAGCAATATTAGTACGATTTCGCTTACGTTGAATTATGCCTACAATGACTTTCTCAGGTCTCATTGATAGGTCAGGCCTCCATCTCGCCATAATGACAAATTTAGTTTCACTGAGATAGAATAAGAAAAGTATGATAAGCAGGATATCAAATATATTTAATGAAAAATAATAAGAGAATGTCATTACACAATTGTTTTTCGTAATTACTTCAGGGATGCGTAATTGCTGTGACCAGGTTGACTTACTTCACCGAACATCTGCAAGTAAGTGAATAAAGTGTAATTTTTAAATCGCTGAAGTTAGAAATAAGTAATATAAAAGTGAAACGCTTTACATTTTCCTACCTTTGCTGAAAAAGATTCATTCTCCTTTCTCATTCTTTGGTCATGACAGCATTCTTCTGCTGTTTTCACTGTCACACGCATTGTTCCTCTTCTAAAGTATAGCACCAAGCAAATAATAATTTAATATGTCGTATAAACGGGTGTTTACAAGGAATGCATGACATCTCTACAGGCACAATAAGTTAGGTTATGAA